CGTTCCTGGTGGAACGTAGTGAGGACAAAGTGGGACAGGGAGCAAATCCCATGTACGTGGTTAAACTTTGCTAAGAAATTTAATGAGAAGTTTCTCCCGCCCTTAATCTAGAAGAAAAGAGAGGATGAGTTTATCAAACTGTGCCAAGGCACTTCGAGTGTAGCGGAATATGAGATTCAGTTCACTCGACTCTCCAAATTTGCTCCAGAACTGGTGGTTACTGAGAAAAAATGCATAAGGCGGTTTGTCCAAGGTTTGAATGTGGAGATTTAAAAGGACTTAGTTGCAGCTCAAATCGACACGTTTAAGAATGCTCTTGAGAAAGCTCAATGAGTGGAGCAGGCCCGATTCCAAGTTCGGATCTTTCAAACCAAGAGACGTGGCGCATCTAGTAGTGCTCCTGAGCGAGGCGATCAACATGTACCACCTCCTAAGTTTGGGAGGGGTACGGGTGGAGTTCGAATCTCAGGGACACCGAGAGGAGTTCCATCCAGAGGGGCTCAAAGTGGAAGGGGACAACAGAAGCCTGTCTCCCAAGGAGGTCCTACACCCGCTCCTCGAACAAGCTATGGATATTGTGGTAAGACAAACTGTACCGAGGATGCTTGTTGGCGCAAAATGAGGAAATGTCTCCGTTGCGGAAGTTCTGAGTATCAGATCGCTACCTGCCTTGTTAAAAATCGTGAAGGAAATGAGGGTGTGCAGCCAGAGAAATCAAACCCTAAGCAACCAACTGCTAGTAAAAGTAGGTTGAAAGTCTCTGCTAGAGTTTTTGCTTTGGACCATTAGCGAGCCCCTGAGTCATCTGATGTAGTGGAAGGTACGATCTCTGTATTCCACCGTTTAGCTAAGTTTCTAATTGACCCTGGGGCAACCCATTCTTTTGTGAATCTTGCCTTTATGTGTGGTATTGATGTGAATCCTGTTAAATTACCATATGTCTTAGAAGTTAGAACACCTACTGGGGATCAAACCCTAATTACCGATATGATTTATAAAAATTGTGAGATTTGGGTAGGAGAACGGAAGTTGGTGGTAGACTTGATAAGTTTAGATCTCAAGGGGTATGATGTGATATTAGGCATGGATTGGTTGGCTCACTATAATGCTTAGTTGAATTGCAAGACTAAGGTGGTGAAGTTCTCTATACCCGGAGAGACAACTCCAAGATTGGATGTGAGAGGTAGATTAGTCTCGTCTGCACTTATTTCGCGAATTCGAGCCAGGAAATTATTGAGTAAAGAGGCGCAGGCCTACTTAGCTTTCTTAATTAATACTCCTGGAGATAAGGTGAAATTGGAGGATGTGTTAGTAGTAAATGAATTTCCAGATGTTTTCCCTGACGAGTTGAAGTCGATGCTGTCAGAGAGAGAAATAGAATTTAAGATCGATTTGGTACCTGGATCTGTTCCTATTGCGAAAACACCATACCGAATGGCCCCTGCCGAACTTAAGGAACTAAAACTGCAATTACAGGACTTGTTAGAGCGAGGGTTTATTTGAAAAAGTAAATCACCTTGGGGGCGCTTGTTCTATTTGTTAAGAAGAAGGATGGTAGTTTGAGATTTTGTATAGACTATCGCGGCTTAAATGATGTTACATTGAAAATAAATATTTTTTGCGGCATATTGACGAGTTGTTTGATCAGTTGCAAGGAGCAGTAGTTTTCTCTAAGTTGGACTTGAGGCAAGGCTACTATCAGTTATGAATTATGCAGGAGGATATACCGAAAATTGCTTTTAATTCCAGATATGAACATTTTGAGTTTGCGGTGATGCCTTTTGGTTTAACAAATGCTCTTGCTGCATTTATGGATTTGATGCATCGAGTCTTTAAATCTTATTTGGACCAATTTGTCGTGGTGTTTATAGATAATATCTTGGTATACTCTAAGACTTGAGAGGATCATAAATGGCATTTGAGGGTAGTTTTGCAGACCTTGAGAGAATATCAGTTATATGTCAAGTTTAGCAAGTGCGAGTTTTGGTTGGAGAAAATTTCTTTTCTAGAGCATGTAATATCCAAAGATGCTATTTCTGTGAATCCAGTGAAAGTAGAAGCCGTATCTGAGTGGAAACGACCAGAAACCCCAATTGAGATCCGTAGTTTCCTGGAATTGGCAACATACTACCGTCGGTTTGTGACAGCCCCACCTCCCCCTAAGGCGAACCAGAGGGTTCGGCGGGCCGCTTGCCCAGCTCTCGCCGGGACTCAGTCGCTCACTACAGTCCTCAAACAAATGACAAGATAAAACTCAAATATTACATCAAATTCTCCACTAATTACATATCCAAAAGCGAAGCGTCCATGCTTCCACTGCGCCACTCTGATCCATGATCCAACTATTATACAAGAGGAAGTCCAAATTCAAAGTACACATGAGATAATTCATCCGATCACAGGAATAAGTACTACAAGCCTTCCTTCGCCTTGAGCCCTGTGGAGGGGAATAAAATATTTTTGGGGTGAGCTAGAAGCTCAGCGAGTAACCAGTAAAATCAGTAATCAAATCGATTTAACAATAGTTCATTTCAATGATGTCATAATTCAAATGATAAGTCCAGAAACAATTACAACATTTACAAAACATTAAATATGGAGTATCAATAATTCAAGAAACATTTACAATGGAAAGCGATAGTAACATTCATGAAAGGATACGGGCCCACATGGAGCCAAATATTCGCGCGCTCGCTCGTTCTCCTGCCATTTCCCCTTATTTCTCCAATGATTTGAAAATTTCATTTTGTGAATAAACCCTAGTTTGTTCGTTCATTTGTTCATTTCATTCACCCTCTCCTGGACATTGTCCAGGCTTCACCAACCTCCACCAACCTACAAAGGTAATACTCGAGTATACCAAAACGTTCACCCAGGTCACCATATCGCCCGACCGAGTCCGCTTCTGGCTCGAGTCGATCGGTAACAAGGGGCAATGGCCAGTTCAGCCCAAAAGGCTTACATTCATGCGCAAGTAGCATTTAATCATTAATCATGAAAATTTCACATTTATTTAGGTCGAGTGCGATAAAGTACACACTCGTCTAGAAAACTCGTTTTAACAATCATTAAAAGCACTTAACACGTTATCAATCAATAATACAAGTTATGAAGTCAAGAGGCATTTAACAAACAAGGAACACTCACATGTAAGCACGCATGATATGCAAGAAAACAGTTCAAAAGTAACTTTGGAAACAGTTCAAAAATAACTTTGGAAACAGTTCAAAAGTAAATAATGCAATAAACGTTTCACAAGTACGTTGGAAATAGTTTAGGGTCACTCACCTCCATGGCTCAGAAACCATCCATTATATATCATTGCCTTACTCAAATCCAAGCCTTAGATCACAAACCCAACGCAAACAAGTTCCTTCAAAGTTCGGACAGCACTTCCCCTGAATTTGCTAACTTTTCCAGCCATCATGGCTTCATTATTTCCTCATTCCAACCCAAAGGTACACACACAACAACAAGTTCATCCAATAGTCATTCAGCAAGCTCCAAGTAGTACTAGTACAAGTCAAGCTAGGGAAAAGTCCGGAAATGAAAGTTAAGCTCAAAACCAGAAAAATAGTTTTGGACGTCATTTTTCGGTAATGGCACCAAAGGTGCTACGATTATCGGATGAAGGTGAAAGATACACCGTTTCAAAGCTAAGAGATAGGGATACAATATTACAGAAGGTTACTCAACCCAGTTTCGAGTGTAACCAGGTCAAAAATGCAAGATACCATACCAGAATCACAAAAACAGATTCACAGAACGCATTCTAGTGGAAACATCATAAAGCAGGCTATCCAAGTCCAAATCTAGAAATTCCAAAACCATATGAAAGATAAGAAACAGGGATAAATTTCGTCAGAAGACCTCAACCACCAATTCGGAAGCAATTCCAGCCAAAACAACCAATTACAGGCGCAATTCTTACATTCGGGTAAAACCAGGACAGCAAGGGTAATTTCGACTTTTCTCATTCTACGCTACTCCGATTGACCTGAAATTTTGTAGGCACCTCTAAAATGTCATTCCCTACAATGTTCATGTTTTATGCTAAGGCCAATTCGGCCTCTAACTAGGAGCTACAAATTCGGGAAGAATGAAGAACAACAAACCCTAACTTTTTCAAATTTCTTCCAAACCAGAAATTGGTTGCAATTAACCACTTTTGCCACCTTATAGCATCCTTAAATAACATTTCCAATCATCATACATGGCCACATAATCATATTCATGTGAAAACAGAAAAATCCCCAATAATTATAAAACTTCATCACTTCATCCACAAATCAAGAAATAATCCATAAACTTGCATCTCATACTACCACTAATCATGATTTAAGCATCAATTAAGGGAGGAGGGTGGTTCTTCACAACTCACCTTAGAAACACAAGAAAGAGAGCAACTAGTCACCTTAGTTTTCCAAACAACTTCACAACCAAGCTCAACTCCACCAAACTAAGAGGTTTTATGGAGTAATTGGAAGATTAATCGGTTTAATTGAAAGATTGGGCAAGATTGGAGACTAGAAAATTGAGAGCTTTTCTTTTTTTCTTTGAGCAAGAAAGTCGGCCAAGAGAAGTAAGAAATGAAGAGATTTTTGGCCAATTTTACTTAAATGGTAAAGTTATGAATAGTAGTCAAACTCAAGACTAAATCTTATGGTGACACTTGTCACCTTTAGGTTTAAAACTTATCTTTTTGTCTCTCCAATACAAATATCTTAACACTTTGTAAAATAATATCACTTAATACAAATTTCCAACAAGTTGTCAAAAATATAATGCATTTACCAAAGTGTTAAATAATATCTATACGTCGCATTAAGGATGCGGGGGGGAGTTGGCTTGAGGATGAAGACAGCATTGGCCAGGAAGCGGTTGGTTTTTTCCAGAGTCTTCTTACAGCTGAGGAGGTTAGCGACGTGGATGATCTGCTGGTACACATTCCGCGACTTGTCACTGCGCATCAAAATGATGCCTTATTGAGAGAGGTAACAATGGAAGAGGTCAAGAGGGTGGTTTTCGACCTCGATAAGGATAGCGCCCCGGGTGTGGATGGATTCACTGGCATTTTTTTCCGTCATTGCTGGAATATTGTAGCTCTTGACATCTTAGCAGCGACTAAGGATTTTTTAGCTGGGACTCCAATCCCAAAAGGAATTGCTAGCACTCTGATTGTCCTAATCCCGAAGAAGCCAAACCCAGCTACGTTTGCCGATTTTAGGCCCATTAGCCTGTGCACCTTTGTCAACAAGATTTTTACAAAGGTCCTTGCTAATCGATTGAAGACAATCCTCCCGGGCATTGTATCTGCGGAACAGTCTGCTTTTTGCCCTGGTCGTGATATTGCTGAAAACGTGCTCTTGGCCCAAGAAATGATTGCCTCCATTGACAAGAGGGCACGGGGAAATAACTGCATCTTCAAGCTGGACATGATGAAGGCTTTTGATAGGGTGTCATGGGTTTTTCTACGGCAGCTACTTTGCAAGTTTGGTTTTGACTACCGCTTCATTTTGCTTATTTTAAATAATCTCTCCCACAGCTGGTTCTCTGTGTTGGTCAATGGCAGCCCCAAAGGTTTTTTCCAGGCCTCCCGTGGGATTAAGCAAGGCGATCCTCTGTCCCCTCTCCTCTTCATTCTGGCGTCTGAGGCTCTAAGTAGGGGTCTGAATGCACAGGTCGAGGGAGGCAGAGTGGTTCCCTATGCTACACCACGTGGTTGCGTTCAGGTCACTCATTTGTCCTTCGCTGACGACATCATCATTTTCTCGCGGGGAGATAGGAGGTCGGTCGGGAATTTGGTTCGGTTCTTAAATTTATATCAAAATGCATCAGGCCAGCGGATTAGCAATCACAAGAGTTTATTCATAGCATCGAGACGGTGTGGTACTGGCCAGATTCGTAGAATTCAGCAGATAACTGGATTCAGGCAGGGAACTCTGCCGCTTCCTTATTTGGGAAGCAATCTATATGCAGGACGTAGGAAAAAAGCATACTTTCAATTCCTAATTGATAAATTTATTGCTAAACTTGCGGGCTGGCAGAAAAAGCTCCTCTCCCAGGGGGGGCGACTCATACTTATTAAGCATGTGCTTTCTGCCATACCTACGCACGTGTTAGCCGTCATGGACCCGCCATCCGGAGTGCTAAAGGAGCTGGAACGACTAATGGCAAATTTTTTCTGGGGTCAGACGGAGCTGGGCCCTAAACACCATTGGCGTTCCTGGAAAAAACTGTGTTATCCAGTGGAGGAAGATGGCCTTGGCATACGTTCTTTTATAGACATACAAGGGGCTTTCAGCTGCAAACTGTGGTGGCAATTCCGCCATTCGTCCTCCTTATGGGCACTATTCATGAGGTCCCGTTATAGTGAGGACAATGGGGTACTCCGTGGAGCATCCAGAGTCTGGCGACGAATGCTGGCCGTTTCTGATACGGTGACGCAATTCACCCGCTTAATTGATTTAGAGGACAGAGTTCGGCCAGCTTGGACCCTCACACCCTCTGGCGATTTCACTATTTCTTCAGCTTGGGACGCCTTGCGGCCCAAACGGGCTTGCCTTGGCTCTAGGAAGTGTGTATGGAGTGGCAGTGCTCCTTGCAAGATTGCTGTCTTTATGTGGAAGCTACTCAATCGGTACCTCCCTTTCCCAGAGGCCCTTCAGCGGTTTGGCCTCCATCTCCCTTCAAAGTGCCCGTTTTGTTTGAATGGAGAGTCTCAAGATCATGTCTTATCGGAATGCGTCCTAGCGTCTCAGCAATGGTGGCTTTGTCATCCTCCAGGCTCTGCACGGGGTACGATTTGCAAGGTGTTGCCGTCGCTAATCTGTTGGGGGCTTTGGAAAGCTAGGAACATGGCGGTTTTTGAGGGTGTTGTTTTAACTCCACCTCAGGTTTGCTGGAATGTTCAAACGCTGCTGCATCACTTATCCCAGATCCGGCCTTTCTCCAGAGTGACGCGGGATGACGGGGAACTGGTCCACTCGGGCTTGTTTCTTCGACTGACATCGCTTAAGCGGGTGGCTCCACGCTGGATCCTTTGGGAATCACCACCGGAGGGGTTTGTCAAGCTGAATGTTGATGGCTCATCTCTCGGGAATCCAGGCTCCTCTGGTGCGGGAGGTGTGTTTCGTGACTCGGGGGGTAATGTCCTCCGTGGTTTCTCCTATTTTTTGGGTTTAAGGACGAACATGGAAGCGGAGGCCTCGGCATTACTGGAGGGTATGTTGCTCTCCACAGATTTCCAATCTCTGCAAGTTGAGATGGACTCTCAGGTTCTGATGGCTATGGTGAATGGCAATGGACGCGTACCTTGGAAGCTATGGAGGACTATATCACGCATCCAAGCCCTAGCGCTGGGCCGCCGGATTACTTTCTCTCATGTCTATCGTGAGGCAAACGGGGTGGCTGACGCCCTGGCAAATCTAGCAAGCTCCACGGGTATTGGTCAAAGCTTTGGGGCCTTCGCCCTCCCGGACTACATACAGGGGCTAGCCCGCCTAGATAAGATGCGAATACCTTATGTACGGTTGTCTTAGCCCTTCTGGCAAACACTTAGAACCGAAACTACATCTCTTGTATTTGTTTTTGAATAAATTTGGGAGTGGCGTCCCCCCTCGTGTGCGAGGTTAGCCAAAAAAAAAAAAAAAAAAAAAAAAAAAAATAATGCATTTACCGCACTTGCGGGTCCCACGTTCAAAATACGCTCTTAATTTCTCAAAAACTAACCGATACTAGAAAAATCATTTTAAAACTATCTTTGCTCATAAACTTTATCTGGGGAATTTTTCTAATAAAGAAAATGTAGAAAAGGCGGGCGATTAAATAAAATAAACCCTAGAAAATTAAAAAATTTTCGGGTTCTCACACTCATTCTTTCGGGGTGTCACACGGTTCATCAAGAACTTCTCCAAATTAGCAAGGCCTTTAACTGACTTGGCGAAAAAGCAAGGTCAATTTGTCAGGGGTTCTAAGTGTGAAGCTAGTTTCCGGGAATTAAAGAAACGGTTGACTTCGGCACCAGTCTTAGCCTTGCCAAATGGGAAAGACAACTTCACTGTATATACGGATGCCTCAAGAGAAGGATTGGGATGTGTTCTAATGCAGAATGGAAGTGTAATTGCCTATGTCTCTAGGAAATTAAAATCACATGAGCGCAATTACCCAACTCATGATTTGGAGTTGGCTGCTGTAGTTTTTGCTCTAAAGAAGTGGAGGCATTACTTATATGGGGTGACTTTTGAGATGTATACCGACCATAAGATTTTGAAATATCTATTTTTCCAGAAGGAGCTAAACTTGAGACAGCGTCGGTGGGTGGAATTTCTTGAGGATTATGACTGTACAATTAACTACCACTCAGGGAAAGCCAACGTCATAGCGGATGCTTTAAGTCGGAAAGTTTAAATAGCTGTATTAATGGTTAAGGAGTGAAATTTGTTGGAAAATGTGAGTGAATGGAACCCACGGTTGGACCGATAGAAAGTGATTTTGGGCAATATCACGATAAAATCGGAGTTGTTGGATCCAATTAATGAAACTCAGAAGAATGATCAGATGGTACAAAAATGGATAGAAAAAGTGCAAAAAGAGGAAATCTCAGACTTTAATTTGAGTTCTGAGGGTATCTTGAAATTTCGTGATCGAATAGTGGTACCGCAAGATGAAATGATAAAAAAGGGACATTTTGGAAGAGGCACATCGATCTAAGTATACAGTACATCCTGGAAGCAGTAAGATGTACCAAGATTTGAAGAGACTGTATTGGTGGGATAAAATGAAGAAGGAAATTGCTCAGTTTATCCAAAAAAGTTTAGTGTGCCAACAAGTGAAAGTTGAACATAAAAAACCCTTAGATCTTCTACAACCTCTTGAAATCCCTGAGTGGAAATGGGAACACATTACCATGGATTTTGTAGCAGGGTTACCTCGTACCCAGAAAGGTCACGACGCCGTTTGGGTAATAGTAGACAGGTTGACCAAATCTGCTCATTTCTTGCCTATAAATATGAGATACTCTTTGGAGAAATTGGTCCAACTATACATGGACTAGATAGTGAGATTACATGGGTTCCCAATAAGCATTGTTTCTGACAGAGATCCGCGGTTTGTGTCTCGTTTCTAGCAACAGTTACAAGGAGCCTTGGGGACCAAATTGAACTTTAGTACTACTTATTATTCCCAAACTAATGGGCAGTCGGAGAGAACCATTCAAACACTTGAAACACATGTTGAGGACATGTATTTTGGATTTTGGTGGAAGTTGGGGACAGTATATAGTGTTAGTTGAATTTGCGTACAATAATAGCTATCCTTCTTCTATACAAATGGCACCATATGAACCTCTTTATGGAAGGAAGTGCCGATCACCAATATATTGGGATGAAGTAGGGCAAAGAAAGGTTTTAGACCCAACTGTAGTACCATGGATCGAAGATACGTATGAGAAGGTGAAAGTGATACGTCAGAGGCTTCAGACAGTGCAAATTCGACAAAAGAGCTACGCCGATAATCGATGAAAGAATTTGGAGTTTGAAGTTGGAGACAAGGTATTTTTAAAGATTACACCACTTCGAAATCTCACGGCAGGAAAAGGAAAGAAGTTTCAACCAAGATACGTAGGACCATTCAAAATTCTTCAACGAGTTGGAAATGTAGCATACAGGTTGGAGTTACTAGCGAGTCTATCCAGGATTCATGATGTATTTCACATTTTCATGTTGAAGAAGTATCATCCAAACCCTACTCATGTACTGAAGCCAGAAGAAAATGACATTGACGAATCTCTGACTTATGAAGAAAGGCCGATACGGATCTTAGATCGAAAAGTAAAGGAATAAAGGACTAAACAGATACCCTTGGTAAAGATTTTGTGGAGAAATCATGAAATAAAGGAAGCTACTTAGAAAGTGGAAGAGGACATGCGTGCAAAATATCTTGAGCTATTCAGTGATCAAGGTGAGAATTTCGAGAACGAAATTCTTTAAGGGAGAGAGAGTGTGAGAACCCTCACTTTAAAATATAATTTTTCTAAACTACATGCCTTGCCCTAAGATTTAAATCACTTATAACATGTCCTTGCATTGCATTCTACATGCATTATAACATTTCCTTACATTGTACTTTATTACTCTTATTTGGATTGTAACATTTCCTTGAGTTGGTTTTATTTTATTTTACCACACACACTTTGACCAAGTGTCCTTTTATTAGTAGTTGGGACTTTATATGATAGTTTAGAAGTGTTAAATAGGTATTGGTACATTTGGAGGGTAGAAACTTCATTAGTCAAAAGATTAAGAGAAGAAAGGGCCAAGATTGGGCCAAGTGGCTAAACCCTAGCCATTCAACCTTTTAACCAATGTAATTAGAGGACTTTTAAATAAAACTTGGCCCCATTTTTCTTCATGTTCGCTGGCCACCTTGAAGCTACCAAGAGAAGAGAGAAACTCCATTTTTCTTGCTTTCTAAACCTAGTTTGATCTTGAGAGAAAAATCAAAAGTGAAGGACTTGAGTTAGTGAGTAAACTACTTCCAACTCTAGTGTGTGATTTTCAAGCTTGAAGCTTTTGGTTTGGTGATTGTTTTGGGTGACTCAAGCTTCATACAAGAGAGGTACATGAACCTTAAATCTTAGTTTTCTTGTGTTATATGAAATGTTTGAAGTTTTGATGGCAAACTAGAAGTTGTTTGGATGTTGTTTGTGGTTAAAATTCTTGAACTAAACAAGTGGTAGAAGGGTTAGTTGGTTTACCTACCATGTGTTTGATGAAATGTTTGAGCTTTGTTCATAGCTTTCCTTCATGTATTAACATGTTATGGACCCTTTTTGAATTAGAGATAACACTTGACATGTTGTTTAAGTTAAAAACAATGAAAGGATGAAGGTTGGTGACATAAGTGAACTAGTGGACTATTTTTCTTCCCCTTGGCTAACCGGTTTGGTAGAGGAGGTTTCTCCTTAATTGTGTGGTTCATTTGCACCTTATTTAAGTCTAAGAAACTTGGCCAAACACATGTTTAAGTTTTGGTGTGAGTTAATATAGAAATGGAGCAAATAAAGTGGTTGTTTGGACCACTAGTGGACTGTTTTGGTTCCTTTCGATGGCTAGACTGTTATGGCTCTTTTAATCATTTTTGTGTGTTACATTTTGAGCTCCAATGGTACTAGATAACTTGATCCCCTGTATATGAACCATAGGAGATTAAATTGGATGAATTTGAGCCAAAACAAGTGAAGTTAGCACCAAGAACTAGTGCAACTTTACTTGGGTTTTAGGGCTGATTAGGACTGAAAAATCAGCCAACTTGTCCAAGCTACTGGTACTGATATGAGATGAACTAGAGTGAGTATTTGATACCGTTGAAAAGCCCTTTGAGTCTAGTTTCCAATGCCACTGACGGCACCTGATTCCGATCTTCCTACAGTGATATATGGCCATTTTTCCGAGACTGCATTGGCGGAATTGTTTTACCCGCGAAGAACACTTTGAACTTGAATGAAACTTTTCTTTTGCCCAACTTTCTTGCATTTGTCAAACTTGTTTTCTCATGAACTTTTACTGCATTTTGGGCCTAACTTGCATGGTGAATTGAGTAAATTTAACCACTCACTTGATCACCTAATGAGCTCACATTTGGGTTGGAATTGAACCTAGTTTGTTAACGATTTCACTCGTTGCCCTAGGATTGGGAAACAGTGGTGAACGTAACCAAGGGACTTGACGTTTGAACACTACATTACTTGACAGGTGAGTGTTCCATTACCTGTTAACTGTCTATGTGAAATATCTGAATACTTGATTGGTGACTGGTTGAGCTAAACACTGTTTTCATAAAATTGAGGTGAGCGTATACTTTATCGCACTCGACCTCTTTTGATTCCACTGAATCTCTGTATACTAATGCTATGAGATATGATTTCTCTGTATGTGTGTTGTTTGGGTGATATCCCATCAACTACTGCCACTGTTTGGATACCTAACCTCATAGGTGAGTCGGTTGTATCGAGCCAATAAGGGCTTTGTTGAGAAGGCCAATAAATCTTGAGAACTGTTTATTGAAAACTGAAAACCGGTATACTCGAGTATTACCTACTTACTGTTTGAGGAGTTCGGGTCCGGTAAGGGGGTTGACTGGTGGACGAAAATTGGAGAAAGTGGAGTTCTATGGACATTGTATTCTTTAAATGCAAACGTTGACGGAGAGTCAACAGATTCTTGTATGATCAAACTCAAGTGGATTTGACTTTTGGAAGCCACGCTTATCCTTGAATTGAACTGTGATTAAATTATTGTAGTACAATATTGTGTTTACTTGTTTACCTCACATCTTTATTTGGCTATGTGCTTATCTGTTTACTTGGAACCTCACTGAGTTTTAACTCACCCTACTTCCTTTGTTTTCCTTAACAGATCTGGGATGGCCTATTGACCAAGGACTTTCATAGATTTATCTTTTACTTTGAACTTGTACTTCGGATTGTAACCTTTTGTTTAGAAGACCTTACTTTTGACTATTGTAAGCTTGAATTCGTAAGTTTGACGCATGTATGTAAATTAAGTGTGGAGTGGTAAGTTTGACATTTAGCTCTTCTTCTAAATTTGGAAAGTTGGCGTGGCGATTATATTTCAATTAGGGTTTGCACTCTTTGTTTGGAAGATATTTCATCAGTTTTCTTGAGTTTCTAGTTCTTTGATCAACCGAGCCCTGGCGAGAGTTGGATAGGCAGTCTGCTGATACCCTAGGGAGAGGTGGGGCTGTCTCACACCATTTGACCACTACTTTCTTACCCTAATTTTCTTGTTTTTATTTCACCTAAACCTCCTTAAATTAACCCTTAAGTCAGCCACCATTATTGACTAAGGAAAAGGTAGAAAAGAAAACAAAAACAAAGAAAAGATCTTAAGTGACAAGTATTGGCAATCCATAAAAGTTTGACCAAGATATTTTCCTTTCTTCTTACCTTTCGTTTTGGCTAAGTTTCGTTCATTTTCCTCTTGTGTTGGCCAAAAATTGGGAGAGACAAACAAGAGAGGAGAACTTCCAACTTCATCTTGATTTAGCCTTGTTTGAGTTGAAATCTCAAAATCTAAACCGATTAAATTGGCACCAAGGAGCTAAGGAAGCTTGTTGTGGAATTGTTTGGAGAGGAAACCTTTTGTTTTTCACTTTCTTCATGTGTTTTGAAAGGTATAAGTCTAAAACTTCTTTTTTCTTTCTTATTTTAGCAAACTATGGAGTAGATGCCTTGAATCTTGAAATATCTTGGATGATACTCTAGTTTTGGTATAGATTAATGGATTTTCAGCTAGGATTTTGCCATTTTAGCATTGCTTTATGTTGTTCAACTATCAAATGTTGGTATTGAGCTTGGATATGGAATTTGTGAGGTGATTAGTAGCATG